GGCTAGATGGACCTTTGATCTGACCTAGTATGGCCATTCTTATATTCTTAACCTGTCACCTGTAACAGTATTTTCTGTGCTATAAATGGCAGTGCAAGTTATTAAGTAGAGACTTTCATACCCTACCCAGATTAAGAATAGGGTTAAATTATTTAACCATTAGAGGATTTTCATGGCTTTTGATAATTCAGCAATAGAGAAATATACAAGGGGGTCACTAGCCATGTGATGTCCCTCCCAGTGTGATTCCTCCCCCTGCCACCTTTAGCCCAGGAGAGGCCATCTGTAACAGGGTGTAGGCCTGTCAGCCGACGGTCAGGGCAGTGAGTCCCTTATGACCGGCTGAAGTTCTTTTAAATTGTGCTTGGTTCTGTTACAGCAACTGAAGGAGTCAGGTTAAAGCTTAAACAGTTACTATTTTATTGTTACAAGGTAAACTTAGTTGTTAAATGCTATTGCTGTGTTACAGATAACACAGCCACTACAAAGGACAGGACAGAAATTACACTAAGAAGTCACTTACAGGTACCATGAAACCCTTTTGGTTCTCTGAGCTCTTATTAAATGCATGCAAAATAGACACATAGCAGGTATATATTCTCACCCCTGCGTTCCAGACTTGGCGTGGCCAGCGTCTTTCTCTCAATCCCTCGGGAAGAAGTAGGGCGAGGTTGGGTGTCCCACAGACCTCGGGAGACAATCAATACCTGCCAGCAGGTATAGATGATTGGAGCTCAAATGGGGTGGGCTACTATACCCCTCTTTATACCCCATGGGTCACATAGGCTTCTTCCTGGTCTCAAGTGGCCAATTAGGAAAAATGTCTTTGAATGCCAGGTTTCCCACGAAGGGTGCAAAGCATAATTCACACCTGGGAAAATGCAGACAATGGGCACCTCTGGTATGTGATGGGCGAAGATTCCTCTCCTGGGACAGTAGGCATGTCACAATTACTGGCCCTAGCCATCAGGCCGCGGGCCGCTGGCTGCCTTTCGCTGCTAGCCCAGTCGCCCGCCCCCCTGCCCCCTGCTGCCTTTCTCTGCTAGCCCAGTCGCCCTGCCCTCGGCCCGCTGACTGCCTTTCTCTTGCTCTCTTGGGGGGGGGGGGGACAAGATGGGGTTCGTGTCTGGCTACAAGGCCGCAGATCAACCCCCTTTCCCCGTCAGGCCCTGCCTCTGCCCTGCCCCATTCCACCTTTTCTCACCCCTGCTCCCTCTCCACTCTCCTTCCCTCCCGCCCGGCACTTGCTGGTGGTGACAGGAAACAGAAGCAACCTGGCTCCCAGCTGTGTGTCTCTGCTTCTCTCGGCCACCCCTTCCTGCAGGCCCCCTCCTCCCAGCAACATGGCAAAGACATGCTGTGCTTATGTCATTCCATTTCCTGTCATAGCCAGCGACTGTGGGGATGGGACAGAGCCCTATTACTGGCATCAGGTCCCCCACTAGTCCTATGTGCCTCCTCCCCCCAAAGTTTGGGATCTGCAGCAGTTTCCCTGAATCACTGGGCAGGATGGCTCTGGCAGCTGCTGGCCCCTTAACCCTCCCCGCACAGTGTTGAACAGGGCATGAGAGTCTTTGTGCCCCCCACATGTCATTATAAGGCTTGTTATTAGGGTTGTCAGGTGTCCGGTATTGTACCGGACAGTCCGGTATTTGCACGCTCTGTCCAGTTAAAAAAAGTCAGAAAATACCAGACATGTGCAATGTCCGGTATTTTCTGATTTTTTCCGGCTGCGCATCGGACAGAAGCCTGGCTTGGGCTGGGGGAGTAGCTGGGAGTCCCAGCTGGGAGGTGGGGCTGCGATTGCTGCTGGGAGCCCACAGTTGGTTGAGTCTGAGGAGGAGGGGAAGCCTCCTCCTTGCTCGTGCGTCGCCGGGAGCCTGTGCGGGACAGGTAGTAAGTGCCCAGTCAGTCCTGCTCCCCGCTGGCCAATTTGCTCACCCCTCCCCCTGCTCCCAGCTTGCTGGTTCTCCCCCACTTCCCCTCCTGATCTTCCCCGGCCAGCCCCCTGCACCATCCCCTAGCTCTGCTTCCTGCCGGACTGTTCCTCTTCCTCATCTCCCCCGCCCCCGCCCGCTCTGCTTCCCACTCCCCCTTCCTTCCAGCCAGCCCTGTGGCACCTGACCCTCCCCCTCAGCTCTGTTTCCCACTGGCCCGTTCCTCTTCCTCATCTCCCCCAGCCAGCGCCGCTGCATCTCCCCCCTTCCTCGCAGCCCCTAATCCCCCCCAGCTGTGCCCCTCCCCTCCCAACCGATTCCCCCTCCCCCGATATCCCACGGCCAGCCCCGTTCTGCCTGACCCCCCTCCCCCACGACCAGCCCTGCTTCCTGTTGGCCCCCCCCCCATCTTCCCCGGCCAGCCCCGTTGCCACCCCCCTTTAACTGTTTCCCCCGTTCCTGGCCAGTCCTCTGTGCTCCCACCCCCACCCCCACGAAGCATGTCTCTGTGTGTGTGTGTGTGTGTTTGTTTTAATGACTACCTGGTAACCCCTAGCAGTGATCCAGGTTCTTGGAGTCTTCCCCCCCCCCCCCAACTTTGAGCGCTCCCCCTTTTTTTCTTCAACAAAATTTTTTCCAGGTTTTTTTTGGGGGGGGGGGGGGTCAGTATTTTTGTTTCAGACATCCTGAAATCTCATGTCCAGAAATGATTAGAGAAGCTTCCTACAGGAATTGTCTCAGAGGCTGAATGCAATGAGTAGTTTTAAACAGCAGTATTGCTAAATCAGATTTAAGTGCTATTTGTAAGCACAGTGGGCCAATCTCTGTTACAAATTTACTGGTGTAAATGAGAGCAGAGTCTGGCCTAGATTATTCTCATCTGAAACAATAATAAAGTGTCACTGTATAGTGTCACTATATGTATTTATACTGTGTAAAGTTGTGCCTGTATATTTATTCCAGTCACTTTGAGAAGTTACTGTGTATTACTGCCTTGGTGATTTGGAAGATTTACAACAAGCAGTAGCAATTGCTGTTTTATAAATCAACTCTCAGCAATCCAGACAGCAGTTCTAATAATGTTCCAGAGTGTCTGTATACAGTGTAATGTGTTAGAGGACCCTTTGTTGAAGTGGTATGATAATAGTCTTTTCTTGCAATTTTGAATGGCAATTTGAATGTTGTGGAGTTACAGAAAACAGTTGCTAAATGTCTTTGATGCTGTTTTCAGGTGTACAGTTGAGGTTGAATGCATATTATGCATGCAAAAATGTTGCTCTATTTTTAGAGCTGCATTTGAAGTACCCACACAAATGAAAGTGTGTGTGTGTGTGTGTGTGTGTGTGTGTGTGTGTATTTGTGTACACCTTTCCACATAATACCTTTCCATTCAGTGTGCAGTGACAGTCAAAAAAGCAAATAGAATGCTAGGAATCATTTTAAAAAGGGATAGAAAATATCTTATTGCCTCTATATAAAACCATGGTACTCCCACATCTTGAATACTAAGTACAGATGTGGTTGCCTCATATCAGAAAAGATGTATTGGCATTGGAAAAGGTTCAGAAAAGGGCAACAAAAATTATGAGGGGTTTGGAATGATTCCTATATGAGGAGAGATTAAAGACTTGGACTTTTCAGCTTAAAAAAAGAAGAAACTAAGGGGGGATATGATAGAGGTCTATAAAATCATAACTGGTGCAGAAAAAGTGACTAAAGAAAAGTTATTTACTTATTCCCACAATATAAGAACTAGGGGTCACTTAACACACAATCAACCTGTGGAACTCCTTGCCAGAGGATGTGGTGAAGGCTAGAACTTTAACAGGGTTTTAAAAAGAGCTAGATAGATTAATGGAGGTTAGATCCACTAATGGCTATCAGCCAGGATGGGTAAGAATGGTTTGTCTGGAAATTGGTAAGGGGAAGGATCACATGACAATTACCTGTTGTGTTCCCTCTCTCTGGGACATCTGGTATTGGCCACTGGCTGCAGACAGAATACTGGGCTAGATGGACCTTTGCATTTGCATGTTTAAGTAGTCAGTAAAATATATATATATGGTAAGGAGAGAGTACTTCGCCCAAAGAGTTTCCAGTCTAACGACAACATACCAGTGAAGTGTTCAGGCGGATGACAGGTCTTGAGCAGCTTGAAGGAGACCGAGGCAGTTTTACAGGTCATACGTGGGGATAGGTTCCATGCATAAAGTGGCAACCAGAAAGAAAATACAGACATATTGTGGGACAGGTGGACTTTTAAAGGTGTCAGTGGTAGCTGACGATAAAATATTAGATCAGCTCAGTTGCCAGGAATGAGCAGAGTACTCAAGGGCCTTGAACATGAGGGCGCAAGGAGTTTGAAGTTAGTGTGTTGGAAAAGTAGAAGAGAGGTAACTCTGTGTGTGTGATTTTTTTTTACATGTACAAATATTGAACATAATGGCTGATTGTAGATGGCAGGGAAGCCACAGAGAAGATATTTGAAAGGCATTTTCTAAAGACCAGACCGTAGTGCTCTAGTTTTGCGAACAAGAATTCTAGTCCCATTCCTATACTAATCATTGCTATGGCCTTGTGCAATGAACACCTTGCAAGGATATTATGAAAATTTAATATTTAAGCCTTCATTTAGAGTGTAATCTTCTCTAGGCAGGGGAACTATCATAGACACCTGTCCTTCAGCGTGAGCAATACATCATTTTAAAGCATGCTTAAGATGGAAATTAATAGTATTACTAAAACAATAGGAAATTGGTTCTAAATTTTTTTTCAGGTGTAGGCAGGGATTAGATCTATCAAGAAACACAGCAAATATCTATTTAAAAATCATTTAGATTTATTTCCTTTCTCAAATTGAATCTAATCACATCAGAACTTTCCAAGAGTGAATTAAGGCTCTTCAAGCACAAAGATGAATCGCAGCACGGGAAGTCAAAGCCGTCAAGAATTGTAGAGCAAAACCAATTTCTCTTATCACATTATATCATGTTCCTGCTGTTTTACTCCATCCTGTAATGGAAAAATATCCTTCAATCCCTGTTCTGATTTTGCTTACTCCAGGTATGCGAGTATCCAGATGGAACCAAGTCCTTGAAGTTAGGGGACTTTGGACTGGCCACAGTGGTTGAAGGACCTTTGTATACAGTCTGTGGCACCCCTACATATGTGGCTCCAGAAATCATTGCAGAGACTGGGTGAGGATACAGCAGTTTTCTCTCCTACATTGACATGTGAAAGACTGTTTATTATAAGGGGGCAAATTTTGAACCCCTGGTAAATCTTTGATTCACTGATCTGATTTTTCTAATATCACATTGTCTACACTGTTTCTCCTACATAGCACAATTGTTGAAAAGTATTTTTGAGAGCTGTGAGACCATGATGTAAATGCAAGGCGTTTGTTCCACTTGCAGCGCTAGAAAAATGAACAATGTGACATGCTTTGATTTACAGCATTGTTATTCATGTATTTAAAAAGAAAAGGCTTGGTTCTTCATTTTAGTGTAACTCATTCATGTAGGGGAGTCAAGTCCTAGAATCTTTCTCTCCAGTTTGGCAGTGTCTATGCAGAGGCAATTTGTCCACTGTAGCAGGAGATGGAAAGGATTTTCCCATCTCTCAGCAATATCCTCCTCTGATTTTTTTTTTTTTAAATGGGCTGGTACTGAAAGAATCTGAAACCGATTGATAATTATTTGGAGTAGGGATGTAAGCAAGTAGTTGAGAAGTCAATTAACTGATAAGCCTAGGCTTATTGGGTAGCCACGTTAACTATGTGACTACTCGCATTCCCTCCCCCCCTCCCACTGCCTCTATATCAGAGGCAGTAAGGGGGGGGAGCAGAAGCTGGTGCTGGGGGGAGCTGTCTTAAAAGATGGTGTTCTCCCTCTCTCCCCCCAGCATTGTCTCTATGGTGCAGCCTTCCCCTCCCCCCCACACACATATGAGCTTCTACCTCTATCAGAGGCAGCAGTGCAGAGACTGTGGAGCAGCCTATCTGTGGTAGCCCAAGCTGGCTGCGAACAGAGGCTGCTGGCCATGAGGGGTTCCAGTTACTCGATGGGACCCCCCGTGGACTGGGGCTACTGGAGGTAGTGTGAGCCTGGCTCAGTCCCAGCTCATGCCAAGTGTGGGACCTACTCCCACTGTGGCTCTGCATTTTAAATGTAGTAGGAGCCAGGTGTCCTGCCTGCTCAGCTCTTACTATATTTAAACTGTAGAGCCACAGCAGGGGTAGGTCCTGGACCTGGTGCTAGCTGGGACTGAGCACCTTCCCTTATCAACTAATTGTGTAGTTGATAAAAATGTTATCAACTACACAGTTGGTGAAATACCTGCTACTTAACATCCCTAACCTGGCAACTTGGGGATTGTGATAGAAAAACAAAGAAAAATGTGGGTTCCTCACAACACTCAATACTCTGGAGGACATCAAGAAAAATATTGACAGTTTGCCACTCTTGCTATACTTTGAGATTAACTGAAGGACATACACTCTTCTCCTATCAAATGCCTTAGGCAGGCTTTCTGTACGTATTAATTTAAAAAACTAACTGGAGGTGACACATTTGAGAAGCTTGCACAAGTAACGCAATCTCTCTCTTCTCCTTCTCCCCCTAGATATGGCTTAAAGGTGGATATTTGGGCTGCAGGTGTGATCACATATATACTGCTTTGTGGATTCCCACCTTTTCGCAGGTGAGTTTAATTCCAGGTCAATGGCAGAAAATAAAGAATTAATTACCTGAAGAATTGTTCGGATAAGATAAAGAACCTGTTTGTTTTCTCCATCCCCCAGCAATAGTCAATGCCAGATATCTTCCCCAAGATTTTTTTCTCCCTTTTCAACTGGCTTATGTCTGAGGGGTAGTCGTGTTAGTCTATATCTGCAAAAATGAGGAGTCCTGTGGCACCTTAGACACCAATAGAATTGATTAAGAGGGTTTCACCCACAAAAGCTTATGCCTTAATACATCTGTAGGTCTCAAGATGCCACAGGACTCTCATAAATGAGGAAAAACAATGAGATCACCTTGCCATTTCACCAGCTGGCATTTTTTTCAGTATTTTTGGACGCACAAGAGAGAGGAATGTGGTCCCACCTTTTAAGGAAAAAAAAAAAGAAAGGGGGAGGTGACTAGCTGTTGGTTGTGTAGCAGTGTTATACTGTGAGAAGCCAGCTTTTTCTGTCCCTTTGTCCTCCAATCTCATACGCCACAGCAAGAATTCAGTGCAGTGAGCATGTATAGTTCACCCTCTAGTGTTTGGCACTGGGAATTTCAGTTGACTGTTTTTATCTTGAAGAAGCATTCACACAGGTGATTCCAGTTACAAGTTGAACCTCGCTAGTGTTGCACCCTCGGGACCTGACAGGTGCCAAACCAGAGAATTTGCCGAATCACAGAAGGTCAATATTGTTTAACAGCATTACCACACTTCCATTGCTTACTGCACATTTAGGAGTAAATTAGAGCTAAATAAAAGCCCAGAACACTGAGAGCCAGGACTGAGAGCTGTAAATAAACTGTATGGACTGTTGGAAGTTTGGCTGCAACCATGATAAGTGGACATCTGGCTAACTGAAATCTTGCCACACCATGGATGTTTTCAGACCAGAGTGTGCTAGACTGGAGAGGTTCAACTGTAGCCATGCTTGTTTAAATGCTCAACTAATAGAAATAAGTTATGTAGTTATCAACTGTTTTCATTCTCATCGTAAGCTTAATGCCCATCATATGACAGGGTTTGTAATTAGTGAATCATGAACTTATGGTTATTTTGCATGTCAAATATGTATTCATATCCAGCTTTAATATCATACTTCTCTAGGATTGTCTGAGATGGGTATAAATATCTGTGACTTTGAAGGAAGGAATCAAACCACATTTTAATCAGAAAATATCTGTTTTTTCAAGGGCATGACATATGATTACACAACAAAGGACACATATTTAGATGAGTTTACTAAAAGTTAAAATTTGCCACACTCAGGGCTACATTTCTCACAGATTGTTTTTAAATTATTTTGGAAAGAGCAGTTTTTGTGTAGTTCTACAATTTCTTTTTCAGACAATTGTTTTTCACTTTCAAAGATGTACCGTATATCCCTTACAATTATTCTGTGTTGCTGTCATTCTTCTGGCTACCAGAATTAGGTGTGAACAAATAAAAAAGACTCCAAGTAATGTTGCTAGAGATTTTGATCACTAACCAACAGTTAGTGAAATTGTAAAATTGGTCCCAGCCGATGTTCCCTCTAAGATTTTCCAACCATGAGCGGAGTGGATTTTGGCTTGGGTACCAATAATGATATATTTCTTCCCTGTATTGTCCCCCATCCTGACCACGCTTGAGAGTTATAATGATGGTGTGATACTGCCCAGACTTAAACTTGTAGAGTATGAGGTAGCAAACAGCTGTAATGTTTTATTTGAATGTTGCTTCTCCACCTAAAAATGTAACTTTAATGCCTCTGAGACAAAAATGACCCCTTTTCTCTTGTTCTCTCCCATTGTTTGTCATCCACAGTGAGAACAATCTTCAGGAAGACCTCTTTGATCAGATCCTCATCGGAAAGCTAGAGTTTCCCTCTCCATACTGGGATAACATCACTGACTCAGCTAAGGTACTGAAATAAATTAAAGTCCAGGGCTTCAAGCTGTGGGGGAGCATTGTGGCCTCCTGGCTACACAGAATTTGTGCTGTTGTACCATTGCTGAGTATATCCCAAACCCATTGTGCCCTTCAGAGCAACGTAGTGATGAAAATGGAGGTCTCACAATTCTACTTGTTGTTGTTTTGTGGGTGAATGACTGTAACAGAATGCTGATTGCATCCAGTGAGCACTGCAGGTAGTTTAGTTTATTTAATAACGACTGTTCCAGTGCAGCTGAAGCACTGAACCTAGTATATGTCTCTCTCCACATTTTCCACCTCATCACCCTTTTGCAAAAGGGCTGCTTCCTATGTGGACTAGACACTGTTCCTTTCATCTGCTCCATTTTCACCTTTAGACTAAACACCTTGGCTGTGTCTAGACCTGCATCCCTTTTCCGCAAAAGGGGTGCAATTAGACACAGCGCAATTGCAAATGAAGCGGGGATTTAAATCTCCCCCGCAGCATTTGCATGAGCATGGCTGCCGCTTTTTTCCGGCTCGGGGCTTTGCCGGCAAAAAGCGCCAGTCTAGACGGGGATCTTTCAGAAAATAAAGCCTTTTCCGAAAGATCCCTTATTCCTGATTTTAAGAGGAATAAGGGATCTTTCAGAAAAAGCTTTATTTTCCAAAAGATCCCCATCTAGACTGGCGCTTTTCTCCGGCAAAGCCCCGAGCCGGAAAAAAGCGGCAGGCCTGCTCCAGCACATG